ACCCCCTCTGAATCAACCTTGCCAAAGAAAACCCCATGATTGCATTCAGTTGACCACAGGAGGTCATAGTGCAATAAGTGTTCATTTTAAAGGTGCTTCAGGATTTAGTTATTTTTTGTTGGAACACTTAATAGACTTAATGTAGTAGGTAAGGGGAGAAGATAGATTATTTATTTATTTATTTATTTATTTATTTATTTTATATGCCAACTTTCTTTTGGAGTGGGACCCAAGGCAGCTTGTAGATAAAATTGGTTAAAAACTTACCAAAACAATGTTTAAAGCAATTAAAATTATGTCATTGAAATAGCATAAGAGTATATTTAAAAATGTTAAAACACAAATGTTAAAAACATAAATAAACTCAGCATGCACCCCATTTGGGCTAATTGAGAAAAACAAAACAAAACCTACAGCTGGGAAATACAGTCGGCCCTCTGTATCTAAAGATTATTTTTTGGTCCATAGATTCCACCATCCATGGCTTGAAAATATTTTTAAAAAGATATAAATTCTAAAAAGCAAACCTTGATTTTGCCATTTTATGTAAGGGAGGCCATTTTATATTTAATGGGAATTGAGTGTCCATGGATTTTGGTATCCACAGAGGGTCCTGGAACCGAACTGTAGTGGATACAACGGACCCACTGTACTTTCAGTAGCACTAAACAAAATGTTACAGAAGCTTGCAAAGGCAGTACTGTATTTTGAATACAGTATTTCATGCTGGACACAAATGAAAGGAAGGGCTACTGTCTTGATGCCTAGATAACAAGCTCAAGGTGGACTGATTCTGGACTTAATGACAAGGGTGTGTGTGTGTAATGAAGGAGACGTCTAATAAGCATTTCTATCATGCTTTTTAAATGTTAGGGCTGGCTTACCATTAGGTAACAGACGAGGGTAGGAAGAGCTGAACCAGCTCCCCGTCATTCTTCCTGGTAATTTCCTTTTGTTGAAAGAGAAGTGTTTATGTCACTTTCCCTCTCCTCCACCCTCTAGACTGGTTTGCTGATTTATTACACAGATGCTTTCCCATCACTTTGTTGTGTGCCTTCAAGTCATTTCTGACTTTTGGCGATCCTAAGGTGAACCTATCACAGAGTTTTCTTGGCAAGATTTGTTCAGAGGAGGTTTGCTATTGCCTTTCCCTGGGGCTGAGAGCATGTGACTTGTCCAAGGTCACCCAGTGGGTTCAGTGGCTCAGTGGGCAGTCGAACTCTGGTCTTCAGAGTCATAGTCCAACACTAAAACCACTATGCCACAGTGCCTCTCTTTTCCTGTCACTAGTACTGAGGTAGAATCTGCCTGCTAATCCAGTAGGCTTCTATAGGAAGAGATTTTTGTCTTCTTTTTTGCTTCTATGGAACATATTTGTAAGTATAGCATCCAGATACTACATGTGTTTACAGTGGGCCATCTATATTCGCTGGAGTTAGGGGTGCAGGACCCCCGTTAAAGTGGGGAAATCGTAAATAAAAAGACTGTTTTTATAACCTGAGAGAACACCTCTCTAGGAATATCTAGCTCCCCTAGCACAAGTCTGTGGTCAACATCTGCTGAAGTTGACCACAGAATTATGCTGGAGGACCTACAAATGACCAGAGAAGTGTTCTCTCTGGGAATCTCTAGGTCCTCCAGTATGACTTGTGGAGGATGTTGACCACAGGCTCACACTGGAAGACCTAGAGATTCCTAGAGAGAACGTATGAATCAAATCCTTGAATAACCAAACCCGTAAAAGTCAGAGCCGCAAATGTGGAGGGATGACTGTACTGCAAGAGTATTTGAATTCAAAAAACTGTGCATAGGTTTGCAGCAGACTCAACAAGACTATCTTCTGAATAAGCTTACGTAGAGTTGCATTATTAGCGAGTCTTTGGCTGTTGCCGCATTGCAGCAGTTTGGCACCGCTGTAATTATCATGACTCCTTCCTATGGAATCCTGGGGTTTGTAGTTTGTTGTGGCATCACAGCTCTTTGACAGCGAAGGATAAATAGGTCACAAAACTACAGATCCCAGAATTTCATAACATTGAGGCATGGCAGTTGAAAAAGTGTCAAACAGCATTAATTCTGCAGTGTAGATGCAGCCTATGAAAGAGATGAAATTAGGAGACTCCCAAGTTAATAGCTTCACTACACAAAGAAAAGAGTTGTATTTTTTTTTTTAGCATGCTTTCTATGACTTTCACACTCCCAGCTAACATTCTAATGTTCAGTTTTATCTGAAATTGAAAAGGTATCACAAAATCCTCAACTAAGGGCCTTTGCAGACTGCTAGAAATAGTGCAAATTGAGTCCAGGGTTAGGGTTAGGGAATCATGGGAACTGTATTTTATTGTGGCACCAGAGCTCTCTGACAGAGAAGGCTCAATGTCTCAGAAAAAACAAAAACAATTCCCATGATTCCCTAGCACTAACCCTAACCCTTAAAGTGGACTCAATTTGCACTATTTCTGGCAGTCTGCAAAGGCCCTAACTCTGAAATCGATAACTTTCTCTGGAGACATATCAATACTACCACCAATGCATTTCCTGAAATTGAACTCCATATAACAAATCCACCCTCCCATTCTAAATACAATTAAACAAAAACGTCTCTCCTTTTCCCCAAGCAGACCGAGAGAGAAGTATAAATTACTTCCATTTTTCCATTGCCTTTATCAGTTAGCATACTAAAAACGTCAGGTCAATTTTAATGGACTAAACTAAAGGAAACTGAGCTGATATTTCAGAGCATCTCTCTTGGATGCAGATCTGATCTTGCTCTCTGGCTGCTGACCTCAACTCTACAGCCTATGGACATATGTGGGGAGATTTCTTGTGTTATTAATATCAACCCAGCTGAATGGATCTAATTCATCTGTTCCACGCGGCCCATTTAGTGAATGCCTGAACTTTAAAGCAGTTAAAAGTCCACATGATACTTTTCTGCAGAATAACGGTATTCCTTCTATTTTTCCTTCCCTTATAAAGTTGGGTCACCATCCAGTGGAAAGATCTCCTGCCCAAGCTCCTTTGTAACAAACAGGAGTTTTGCAAGAGAGCTGCTTCTCTCAATGAAGTGCACTCAGGAGGCCTTGAGCACACACACAGGAGGTCTTGGTGAACTACTGGTATGTGTCCTTGAGCACAGTTATGTGGGTTTTTTGGTTTTTAACTTTATGTACCTTCTAAAATGATGACCCATCCAGTGTGGTGCACATTTCCTCCAATGGACTGCTTGATTTCTAGTTGTTATGTGGAATATGTTGGCTTTCAGTAATGCAAAATTCTGAATTAAGGAAAAATGTTGAAAATATTTACTGTGCAAGGCTGACCCTGGCTACAAAAGTCTCCAGTTGTGTCTAGAGAATGGCTTATATCCCATGCCTTTGAACATAAAAAGTAAACAGATTGGCACAACATTAAGATAATCTGATTCAGTGGTAAATATAGTAGGAGTTAAACAGACCTGAATAAGGTTGGGTAAATACTGAACAGAACAGTATCTCAGCTGAGGAATTTGGGTCTGATCTTTGACATGTTTCCACCTTTATGCAGGATATTACTACCAGGAGCTGGAAGTAGTGTTCTTTCTCTGAATAGTTATGTGAGAGTGTACCATGAGAAAACAGGTATCTGATTATGGAGGATCTCCATTATAGGACACAAGAGTCATTTGAAGATAGTGGCATAGGTGAATGGGAAAAAATACCTTTTTCTTCTCATCATCCTATAGGAGCTGGGCTGCCCTGTCCTTGAGGGTGTCTACCTATCGGAGGCTAAAGACATACAGAAGTTGCTGTGTACTCCTTCACCCCTTCGCCTGGACATACTGGAATGGATTTGCACTCGGTAACCTCCCTCACAGTTAGATCCTTCCTCCCGTAGCAACCTCCTTTCTCTCTCTGTTTCCTGTACAGACAGAACTAGTGTACCAATACTGTGCCTCCTGTTCTGCTGAAAAGCTGTAGCTTGAATTTATAGCTGCTCTTTGACTTCTTTAAAACTTTATTTTTATATAGCCTGATCCATTTTGAAGCTAGGATTATAGCACATGGCAGATCTGGCATTTGAAAAAGATCACATTCTCTATTTCTGATTATCTCCAAAACTGTGTGTTTTGGAAGTCTGCCACACAGTTAGGTCAAGCCATGCAGGAAGCAGCTTACAAATGCAGAAAAGGGTTGTGAACTCCACATAGTGGGTGCTAATGTTTGAATTGGTGCTTGCAGATGAAATCCAGAAGGAAATGTTCTGTGTCATGGTCCATGAGTAGGGAATGTGGGGGAGAGTATGGGTAGCCCATATTGTCTTTCAACCCATGTTTTGTGGGTAGCTGAGCATCTAGAGACACTTATGGGTTAGCAAGTAGGGACATTAAGCATCAAGAAGGAATTAGGGATGTAATTCTTCATTAAATTTTCTCACAAAGGATAGTACAAATAATTTTAGGAATTTTTTCCCACTGTGAGAAAGTTTTTGAAAACAATGCTGCTTTTGAAGCATAATTGCGATTCAGAACTAACAACACAAAATTTGCACCTGGTTGTTTTACACAGAAAACAGCATTCTCTGTGCAAGAAAATTGTTTTTGTGCAAAAATATATTTCCTGTAATATTATTTCCTGTGCAGAAAAAGCTGCTTCCCCCCCCCCCCCCAGAAAATGCTATTTTCTGTGCAAATCACACACACATGCAGATTTTACACAGGATAAGTCCTCAATTACAGCATTTTCTGTGCAGGAAATATTTCTGCATAGAAATATCATTTTTATGTCACATGGAAATTTGGCACAGATTTGCTCCCAAACTGCAAAGATTCTCACCAGTTCGTCCATTTTCATCCATTTTCTCACCACTAAAACATGTTTTTCTACTAGCTTTGAATATTCTTTCCATCCATAGAAGAAATGAGAAGAGACAGAGAGATACATGAGGTTTAAGTGAGAATGAGAACAAAAAAGAGTCAAGAGGGATAGAGAGTGACAGCTCATTTACTGTATTCTGTCCTGGTTAATTATGTGAGATGTACAGAGAGCTCAGGCAGCCCTTCTCTGCCTAGCTTCTCCCTGGGTTCTGTTTCCAGTCACATTAGTTTGAAGAAGTCCAGAACAAATTTTATATACAGATGGACAGATAAGTCTGATCAAGGACAACTAAATTCCATGTTGTTGGGAAGGCATCTGTAATTGCCGAACTCATCCCTTTGAATTCTTTCTCCTCCAGTTTTGATCTCAAGACCAGTCACAAGGTGGAGCAGAGCACACTAACAGCCCAGTAGTGGTTTTCATAAGGAAAAAGCTCTGAACTCCTGAACAAAAAAGGTTTCTCTTGTCTTTCTACTATTGGCACTTTTCACTGCAATGTTCCTATTGTGCCCCATTCCCATTTCCTAATTTTGTTTTTGTTTTTAAGAATTAGACTGTAAATCATGTGTAGGGCCTAACTTGTTTAGTGTTGTTTGAAAGCTGTAAATAAATAGTAATAAACAATCATGGTTATTTATCACTGATAGCAATGTTAAATGAAAATACAGTCAGCCCTCCATATCCACGGATTCAAGCATCCACAGCTTGAAAATATTTTAAAAATATATAAATTCTAAAAAGCAAACAATTTTACCATTTTATATAAGACACACCATTTTATTTAATGCCATTGTATTTAATGGGACTTGAGCACCCACGGATTTTGCTATCCATGGGGGGGGGGTCCTAGAATCAATCCTCTGTAGATAGCAAGGGTCCACTGTAATCTGTTACTTCAGATTACATTACATTACTTCCCTAGCATTATACTTCTAGATATGTTGGACTTCAATGCCCTACATCTCCAGCCACCATGGTTAGTGGTTCTGTTAGATGAATATGGTGAAAATTGTACTGCATCACCAGTTATTATTGTTAATTCTGACTTGTGGGCTGGTCGGGAAGAACTATCTGGCTCTCTTGTTCTGGCTGTATTACTGCAACCAATATATGGAGTAAATTTCTGTCCTGAAATGAGGAAGAATGCTGTGGCAAGGCAATGACCCCCATTTTGTTTTCCCTTGCAGTGTGTATCCAGCCCTCCAGGAGCAGTTCTCATCTCTCAAGGAATCAGAGTCAGATTTAAAAATAAGAGGTATGTTTTGTGCTCAGGTTGAACAGACAAATATGGAATCAATATCATTCACTGTGGTTTCTTGGGACACACCTGAAATGCTTCTGTCTACTTGTAGAGGGCCTCTGTGGAAAAGCGGATGGGGGGTTGCAATGGGTCTCTTTTTTTTTTGTTATATACT